GAGAGAGAGAGAGAGAGGGAGAGAGGGAGAGAGAGAGAGAAACAGTAGTGGCCCTGGTGAAACGTCCTTGAATCCATTAAGCTAAATTTGATTTCTTTCCAATTTGTCAGTCAGGATAAGCATTGCTCAACTTGAAGCAAGTTGTCATTTTTCCACTCGTGTGTTTGAAAAGAGAAACGGATATCGACACACAAACAGCCACGAAGGGGAACGTTAGTCAGGTAGGCAGTAACATCCGAAGGAAGGAAAGGAAGCAAGACTTGTGAGCAACACCCTCAAACCACCATCTTTCTTTTACTCATCCTTATGAAACAAACCTAAAAGGCCTTTACAAAAATCCCGTAACCACAACCCCATCCTTTTCTCCCATCCTTTTCTCCCCTCCTCTTCACTCTTTTCTTTCATTACCAAAATCCCTTGTTCTCCCCGTTCCTCAGACAAAGGTAGTAATTCTTAACTAAAACTCCGACTACAAAGTCAACTGATACTTACTGAAAAGAAAAGGACGAAGAGGGAGGGGGGGGGGTGGAAGTTGAAAGCCTGCGAAATCGATTGACGAAAAGAGGGAGCAGAGGTTTGATATCAAAGGAACTGACTGTCACGCAAGTAGTTAAGGATACTTTTGTAACAGTAGCATTAGATGGTTTATACACCCATCGGCATAATTTATACACTCTAAGAATCTGGCTTATTCGACCCTTCGGGCAATGATTTATATATTTTATGGGGGCTCCAGTGGCTAAGTGAGTAGTGAGCTTAGACTCAAGTAATGTCAAGGAAGTGTCGGTGACACGGGGAGCAGATAGGTGGTCACTGGGGTGTGTCCTTGAGCAAGACATGGCAACCCCAGCTCAAAGTACAGGGCGCTGCACAGTGGCGACCGACAGTGGCATGTTTGTAAACTGTTCTGTATTTGTGTAATATTGTGTATTTGTGTATTTATTTATGTATGTATTTATGTTTGTTTTATGCCTGTATTTATGTTTGTTTTATGCCTGTATTTATGTTTGT